CTCTTCACGTATCTTAGCCAGTTGATACGCCTCTTCGATTGTTTGGGGTTTGAAAGCTTGAATATAGGCGGATATCTCTTGATTCAACCCACCCACATACGACCCTATGATCGCGACCTCGGACCAACCTCGACAACAATTAAGCAGATTCTCGAAAGCATTTTGATATTCGTCAAAGGATCTGGTTTGACGAATTTTTGCCAACACCTCATGCCCAGAGGATTTCTCCGATGAACCATACATTTTTCAACTCGGCGCATAGACTGCTCCAAGTCATGACCACTCCGTGCTTCGATAGCTCCACCATATTATCCACTAATTCACGTTGACATCCATGTGGTACGTGTCTAGCGCCACTCTATGCTCTCTTGGAATTCATTGAAAGCAGAAGTACTTCTCAACACGCGAGACCCACCCCGATAAATCCTCCCTGCCGGCGAACTTTGGAAACTCAAGTGGTGTGATGCGAGCCTAGAACATAGCTTGTCCCAGTTCTTCATATGGACCCAGCGCCACGTAGGGCGATTCGTGACCCATCAGATACCCGCTCCAGCCCATGGGGGGTCTTTGCCCTACCTAACTCATTCCATTTCTGGTCGCGGACCCCAGAGCAACCAACACCATTATCTCCTGTGTTTCCGGCCCAGCGTGCAGTCCGTTATTGACGAGACCTGGGCCGCTAACTTGAGAGCCCAGCTCATTGGCATCAAGCCCGCATGTCTACCAGACCCTCCTACGCCTCCAGCCCAATAGTCCGACCCAGTTAGATCACTCCCGCTTTGATCTTCCTCATGCGCACCCGACCTGACTCCATAAAGAAGAGCCTCTATGAGCTCGTCCATATTCAGCCCAAGCCCGCGAATCATGACCGAGATCCCACAATTGGTGGCCTCAAGGTTTGCCCATTTGCTGACCTCCCCCCTAGAGAGACGATCGACTCATCTTCGCCATGAACGGTGAAATTTCCCCGGCCCCGCCTGACGAGAATCCCTCGGTCAGCTCCTCCGCTGCGAGCAGCTTCTCGACGCGCCTCCTCTCCGCGTATCGTGATTCAGGCGAGGCTCTATCTGGCTCGCTCGTCTTCTTTCCTGATGTCGGCATCGAGCTCTAGTTACCAGGCGAGAGCGCCTCCATGTCACCAAAGTCGGCGATTCCCTTTTGATTCTCCACCATCAGGATCTGGTCAATGATGCGGCTCCCCTTCGCGGCACCGCGGTCATGCTCCCTTGGTGATCACCTTGTCGGCTTTCCCTAGGGCAGGTCAGGAAGGATGGCTAGGATGGAGCTAACATCGTTTGCCAGGCGGTTCTGTTCAGTGCGTATGTTGATCTCTTCTTTCAGTCGATCCAACCCATCTTACAGTTTCTCTTGGCCGTGTTGGAGTTGCCTGCATCGACACACACACACACACAGGTGATATGGGCAGCTTCGTGCTCATGATTTTTTACGTTATGAGCATCAAACATGGCCGCGATCTCCTATTCATGGCTGGCAAGAGCTTGGAGTTGTTGCCCTAGCTCGTCATTGCCACATGCTTCTTGATACGAGGATTGGGTCGACGCCTTGCGTGGTGGCATGGTTCCATGACTTTGGTCGCTCAGAAACAGTCTTCGATACCAATTGACGCGTGATAGGATCTCACGCGTCGTAGAACTCGAACGCTTCTGTGAAAGAAATAAGAATGCGATAAAAGAGAGCTAATTTACTACTAAATACTGAAATTTATTGCTTGAACGAAATTAGAAGAGCAAATGTACATATTTATAGGACTAATTCTACAAACCCTTTCCCCTTAAGATAAAGTAACCCAATCCTAAACCAATAAATAATAAGGGTTATAGGTATAATATGCCCATCTACTATGACGTGTTATCAAACATGCCCCTCTACTATTTTTTACATCAAATATGCCCCCTGTACTTTGAAAAAATTATCAAACATGCCCTTCTGTTAGAATTTCCATTGAAAAAATCGTCAATCATGGTTGAATTGATATTTTGACGACCCGACATCGGCAAATGAGAGGGAAAATGTCAGTTTTATCCCCTATTTTATTTCCCTGGGTCTTTTCAAAGTGAAATTATCTGAATGATTTGATTATACAAAAGAACCAAAAAATTTTAAAGTGAATTTATTAGGGATATTTTAGTCATTTGTGTCGCCCAAACTAAAGTTTGGCCTTGGTTAACGATTTTTGGATGAAAATTTTAACAAAAGGGCATGTTTGATGTAAAAAATAGTAGAGGGACATATTTGATAATACGTCATAGTAGAGGAGCATGTTAAACCTATAACCCTAAATAATAGTAATAATAATCGTATACACAAACTAATACAAATAACCAAACTATAACAGGATATTCCAACCGATAATTAATATGAAAAACAATAAGAACAATAATAATAAGTCCTACTCGGCCTATGGGGCTTATAATGCAACATAGTCATGGGTATTTACTTATCCATCCCAATTGAATTAAATATATGAAACTCAAATCACAAGGTAAATGAATATACTTTGAAGGGTTTACATACATGGTCATTTAGTTGGGTTGAATTTTTTGATACATGAATTTGAATTTACCATTACCCAACCCGTAACTAAATAAAATATGAAACAATACACATATCCTACCCAATTCTACTTAACAAGTATCCAAACTTATATAAACTTTTTTTTGGTAAATAAAACTTAACTTCCACATACTTTGATTATAGATTTTCTTTTTTTATTTTTGGTAGGAAAACGGAGTGATACGGGCACCCCAACCGTTAATCATTGACTATACGAGAAGTTTCCACCTCCATTACATCAAAGAACAACCAATAGTTCAGGAGCGGATCCGGCTCTTCTCTGAAATGTTTATAGATTTTCATGAATGTGGGTGAAAATATTTATCCTAAGGTAAGAGAGGTACTAATTAACGCCCTACATTTTTAAATTTGTCTCCCTAACTTAGGCAAGTTGTCGTTTTTGCCCCCAGCCGTCGCCCTAACCTAATTTTGCTATGCTCAGCCGTTCCCATCGCCGCCGTTCGCTGGAACAAAGTGAAAACGAGACTCAAATGTATGAAATTCTGCAATCGATTAACGCGATTGAATGGGAACCAAAATTCACTTATGTCGCCGCTGGGAACTGCTGTTGAGGACTATTTTACAAGGGCAATTGAGGTCTTGAGAATCAGAGCCTTTCTCGCAGCGCAGAAACCTTGGATTTGGAGAGGATTTCCACTGCGGCGGGGAAGAAACTCGAAACAACGTGAATCAAGGAGAATAAGGAAGGGATGCATACAGCATAGTGTTCCATTTTCGTGGGGGAGTGCGATTGAAAGTTTTGCAGGGAGTAATTGAGATCGCGGGCCGTCCGCTCGAAGACGAAGAAGGAAAGACATCCCGTCGCGTCCTTCGCCCTGAGATTAATCGTCCCCCGCCGCCGCCGTTCGCCTGGAAGTCCTCGCCCCGGGCAGCAGAGCAGCGGAAGAACCTCGCGGCGACGACTCGCCATTCCGCCCTCTTCCTCTTCCTTCCTCGAACGCGAGCAACGGAAGGCAGTGGGGGGCTTGACGTCGCCGAAAGGGCAACAGGGCAGGAGAAGATTGTCGTGGCGACAACTCTCGACGGAAGGAAGTTGCAGGGCGCAGTGCCGGCGACGGGGGAAGGATCCAAGGGGAATGACATTGACAGGGCAACGGAGCAGAGGAAACGCCCTGAGAATTCTGTTTTAGGGGGTTTAGGGCGAGGAGGGGTAAATTCGTCTATTTTGTTAATTTAGGGCGAAAATTTTAAAATGTTAGGGCGTTAAATAGGAATCCAGTAAGGGAATGGCCATCTCTATCTTGTACGATAGACGTTTAATATATTTTATCAATATTAAAAAATAGTGACGTCGATTACTATCCGCTAAACACTCAAATCTCAATTTTCACATCCACGGACTGGATGGGGGCCGGTTAAGAGTTAAGACCGATGCCAAAAGTCCGATCCAATCCCCTAACCCACGGACGACTTGCACTGCATAAGATAATCACAGTCCAAAAAGCATTTTTATTAATGTAAAATAATATTAATTATTATAATCCGCCCCTCGTTCCCCTCCCGGGACCCGGTAGCAGCAGAATACCCATCCCTGCTAACCTACGCCTAAGAGCGCAGTGCTCGCACCCCCATGCGGTCACGCCACACGTGTCGCCACCACCGTCGTCCTCAGGCTTACGTGTGCTCACATTGAGAAAGGTGCGCACTGACACCCCCCGCGCCGTTTAGCTTCGTACTTCATCTCTCTTCCTCGTAAACATTTTCATTTTCCTTTTTCCCGCAATGGGCCAATGAATGATTTCCTTTCCCATCCTATCTATTGTTTCCCTCTTTCCTTGAAAACTTAAAAAACTCCCCAAAACGGCAAAACCCGCCGCCCCCCGTCTCTCTCCTCTCCACCAGCCCCTCGTCTCTCCGAATCGTTTTCTCCCCCCCCCCCCCCCCCTCTCTCTCTCTCTCTCTCTCCTTCAACACTCCGTCACTCTCCCTCTCGTTCTACAGCTAGAAGACGCAGCAGGAAAAACGTAATCTGTACTGCTTGTCTCAGCTGGATATCGTTTTTCTGTTACTTCTCTGCAGCTAGCCATTGGAGCAGTATCATCAAAAGCTTGAAGTGCTCGGTTTAGTCACGAGATCGTCGATTGAATTACGGAGCTGGTGAGCGAAAACACGGCCACCGGAAATGCGTTTTCCCCCGAATTCGATCGAATTGCAAGTGCACGGCGGAGGAGGAGATCAAGCCAACTCCGTTAACGTGACCTGATCAGCAGAAAGGTTTCCCTCTCCCTCACGGCGATTTATTGCCTTTTCCCCCCTTTTTCGCTGGTTCGGTGAGGTCGACGGCGGGGGACGCTCGTGCGTTTGGAGTTTTGAGTCGGTTTCTCGTGAAGCTTTTTTAAGGAAAAGGAGGGGTTGAGACTTGAGAGCTGAGATTTTTTTTTTTTTTTGGGCCCAAAAGCGAAAGAATGCCTCACAGAGCGACTTACTTCTTCCCGAGGCAATTCCCGGATCGGCAGTCACCTCTCGATGCGACGTCGTCGAAGAAGCAGCTGTTGGATCACGAGAAGCAAAAGGCGTCATCGAAAGAGACGTTTACCTGCGAAAACGACGGCCTCCACCGGGACTCTGCCACAGTTGGCAGCAGCAGCAGCAGCGATCCACCAGCTCCGAAAGCGACCTCGATCGCCGCCACGACTTCGCCACTTGCCGATCTCTTCACGAGCAGCGACGACGACAGGTACCACCAGAGGGAGAGCCATGGAGACAAATCCCGGAGGAAGAAGAAGCAGCTCGCCGATTTCCGTGACTGGCTGGCCGAGAGGAAGGTGGACAGGAGCTCGACCTCTTCTGGTCACGTGAGATTGAAAACGAGATTGTCGAGAAGTGATTATTACGACGGTGTTGATGATTCAGACGACCGCTTGCTGGCGGCGGCGCCGCCGCCGGAGCACGAGGCTAAGGTTCAGGATCCGGATAATGTGCCCAGGGAGATTTTCGGAGTCAAGCTGAGGTGCAGATTGTCGAGCGATGAATTCGACGAGACGGAGCGGTTGCTTGCTCCTCCGCCGCCGGAGTCGGAGATTAATGTAGTGATGAAGGATCTCCGTGATGTTGACCGGAACTTTGACCGGCAGGTCTCGTTGCCGCGATTCTCGAGCGGGAGTAGTTACGCTGGTAGCTTGTTCTCCGGGACTACGCTTGACGGGAACTTTCACCTTCTCGAGCGACCTCAAGGACGCCGCCACGACCGCCACCACGCTAGTTCCGGGGGCGACGTCGAGGCAGCGGGAGGCGGCGGCGGTGGCGCAGGAGGTGGCCGACGAGGTGGAGAGAAGCGCGAAAAGTTTCGCGCAGAGGACTAGTGAAAGCTACTGTCTACAGCTTGGTTTGGCCAGGAGGCTGAGTTTGCAGGCTGATATTTCCGGCGAGCTCTTGCTATTGAAAGATGGCTCGCTTGAGATTCCTGATGTTGAAACTGTTTCTTACAGGCTCTGGGTAATCTTCGTACTACTGCTGCCTTCACTAAATTCAGAAATTTCGGGATATGGAGTTTGAATTCGTGTGCTTAGTGTAATTTCAAAATTGTGGCAGGTAAGTGGCTGTTTGTCGTACAATGACAAGATATCAGATGGTTTCTACAATATCCTGGGGATGAATCCGTATCTCTGGGTAATGTGCACGGACGAGGAGGAAGGAAGAAAGCTGCCGTCTCTGATGGCGCTCAGAGAAGTTGACCCTGGTAATACTTCAATGGAGGTGGTTCTCGTTGATAAACGGAGCGACCCGCGTTTGAGAGAACTCGAGGATAAAGCTCAAGAGCTGTATTGTGCATCGGAGAATCCGTTGGTGTTGGTGGAGAAATTGGGTAAACTTGTTGCTATCTGCATGGGGTAAGTTCCCATTTTCCGTCTTCTTTTCTGAGTTAGTACAGTTTGCTGTTTGCTTCCTCGGTGACTAAAAGCTTTAGCACATTTGCAGGGGCAATTTCCCGTTGGAGCAAGGTGATATGCAGCAGCGCTGGAAATTGGTCAGTGGAAGATTGAGGGAATACCAGAAGTGCATCGTTCTCCCTATTGGCAACTTATCCATGGGACTCTGCAGGCATCGGGCAATACTTTTCAAGGTATGGACCCATACAAAATTACAAATAATTGAACTGAGCGCTGCAGGCGCAGCTGGGAATAAAATGAGGCATCGACTAACTTTACGACTACTGTTTGTAGCTAATGTCACTGATGTTTTTGTGAATTGTTTTTGGCACTATTTGCAGAAATTGGCTGACTACATCGGTTTACCATGTCGTATAGCTCGGGGCTGCAAGTACTGTGTAGCAGACCACAGATCTTCATGCCTTGTCAAAATCGAGGATGACAGACAGTTGTCAAGGTCTGTTTTATGGACTTATTTTGTTTACATTCTAAACGTACTCGGTGAACTATGACGAGGAGCTTTCACGATCAAACAATTTCAGCACATTGCTGAGTGCAATTGCAAAATTATTGAGGAAAGGAAAGAAAACAAGTCTGGGAAATTTGGGTTTGGCATCACTGTTCATCACTATTGTAACAGCTGCATGAATTATCTAGTGATGTTTTACTGTTCGTCCTTATCTAGTGCTGAAAGTCTTGGTTGCTCTAGGATGGCTTACCGGAAAAAGCTAAAATAATTTCAGATGGGTATGGGGGCTAAAAATGAGATAAGTGGATATCTCTGAACAGTTAGTAGATGCGTTTCATAGCTTACTCTGCATTGACTTTTGTGTTTGTTCTTCATATCTAATATCAGAATTACGTATTTCCTTGCAGGGAATACTGTTGTAGATCTCATTGGGCAGCCAGGAAACATCCACGGTCCTGATTCAACAATCAATGGAGGATTCACTTCTCCAATACCTTCGCCATTTCAAATTCCACATCTTAAGAGAGTTTCAGCAACCTGCAATGGTTGATGTGCCATCTCAACTTGTAGGCTCAAAGAAATTGTGCATGTTACCCGAAAATCATCCATGTGCAGGTATGCACATGCCATTTTTACTTGCCTGAAAATTTATATTTTTCGGGTTTCAGATTCAAAGTAAAGAAGACTAGTTTGTGCCGTATATTTGCCCAGAAATCTGCAGATGTTGATATTGATGTATATTTGTTGCAGGCGATAATGAGGAAAGCCAGAAAACTATTGGAACAGCAAGGGTTTCTGCTTTCAGTGGAGTAGAAAGAGCTTGTTTCGAAATGGAATCTTCAATGATGCGTTTAGATTTGGAAACGAATGCAGAAACATTTGATGCTGCTAAGCTTGTCCAAAAGAGCATTGTAACCCATACCAAGGTTAGCCTTTCCATGGAATCTGATGTGAAGGAAGTCGAAAGTAAACCAGATAACAGAAGTCGTTTATCCTTCCCGACGACTGCCCCTAATTTTTTGAACCTCGAGCCTTCACTAGCAATGGACTGGCTTGAGATTTCATGGGATGATTTGCATATAAAGGAGCGTATTGGGGCTGGTATTTCTTCGTCGGGCTCTATTTTTTCATCTATTTGAGCTATCTTTTTTCTCCTTCTTTTCGGAGTTTGAAATAACCTTTCGATACTGTTATCTGAATGGTTGATTTTTGTGCTTGCAGGCTCATTTGGAACAGTGCATCGTGCTGATTGGCATGGATCGGTTAGTAAATTCACCTTGTGCTATATGCTTACCATATCTAATGAGTTCTGGCAGATGTCCTGAATGTGAACTTCTACAGATAGTTGTTACTCTGCTGCCATTTTTCGTTTAATTTCAAAGAGAGCAGGTAGTTGTATACTTAACTAATTAGTAATTGGTTTTTCTACAAACATCAGGGCATAGGCTTTTTCCTTGTGCATGAACCCCTTAGTTTGAATCAGTTTGACCGCGTAGCTCTATCAAACATTTTCTTATCTTCTTCACAACACTTACAGCTGGTATCTTTTTGTTGAAAATGCAGGATGTTGCTGTCAAGGTTCTCACTGTTCAAGATTTTCAAGATGATCAGTTAAGAGAGTTCTTAAGGGAGGTGCGTTGTCCTTGAACGTATTTACAGAATTACTATAATTTTTATGGAAATGTTGGTTGCTTCAAGTAGATATCATGCTTAGCGACGTCGTATAATTGGCATTTTTCTTGATCTAGGTTTCAATTATGAAACGGGTCCGCCATCCCAACGTAGTTCTGTTCATGGGTGCTGTCACAAAGCGTCCTCATCTTTCTATTGTGACAGAGTACCTACCTAGGTAAATTATACATTTTAGTCTTTCATTAACTAGGGCAGATCACTTGTTCCAAATAATTCCTAACCAAACTCCATTTGATTGCTTATATCTGGTAGGGGTAGTCTGTATCGCTTGATACACAGGCCAGCTGCAGGGGAGGTCCTGGATCAAAGGAGACGGTTAAGAATTGCATTGGACTGTGGTTCGTGTCTACCTGACCTTTATAGGCTATACCAGTTTAATGAATTTGAATCTGACAGTGTCAAGTGGCTTACTGTTTTGTTTATTGTGTTCGGCAACCCAGGCAAAAGGTGTCAACTATCTCCATAGTCTTACCCCTCCTATTGTTCACTGGGACCTGAAATCTCCAAATCTGTTAGGTTGATAAAAATTGGACAGTCAAGGTGAGTGTAACTGTGGACCTCCAGAGCACCTCTCGCACTCTCGTCTAACTAGCTTCTTTTTCCGGTGACTCATAGTTTGTTACAACAATTCAGGTGTGTGACTTCGGGCTCTCTAGATTCAAGGCCAACACTTTCATACCATCAAAATCAGTAGCTGGGACAGTAAGTTCCTCCCCTTTGTGCCTAAATATGGTATTTATTTATTACCCAGTAGTCAGACAGATTGGATCAAATATGTTGCAGGTTGAAAATTTGAATTGGAAGTGAGTGCATGAGAATGTAACTACTCACTTGGTTTTGATTTTCAGCCGGAGTGGATGGCTCCCGAATTCCTTCGAGGAGAGCCTTCGAATGAGAAATCTGATGTTTACAGTTTCGGAGTCATCTTATGGGAGCTCGTAACCATGCAACAGCCTTGGAATGGACTTGGTCCCGCCCAGGTATACAATACTACAACCAATCTCTCTTCTCTATCTTTAGTCCTCCATCCGGTTTAGGAGCTTACAGGCATATTTCGATCTCTGTTTCGACACCATGTCAGGTTGTTGGTGCGGTCGCTTTCCAGAATCGAAGGCTGGCAATCCCACCTGGTACCTCCCCGGTGTTGACTGCCCTTATAGAAGCTTGTTGGTCCGAGTAAGTAACTACTAAAATCTCACTTACCATCGCATAATAATGAGATAACAAGTGATTGATGTGTATAATATTCTTCTTTCTAACCTATGCTCCAGTGAACCGGCTCGACGGCCTACGTTCAGAAGCATAGTGGACTCGTTGAAGAAGTTGCTCAAGTCGCCTGAGAAGTTGATACATATGGGAGTGCCGGCGGCGGAGTAGCCTCGCACCAAATGCTTTCACTACACCTAATTATTTTTTAGCTTTTCCAGTCGGAATATCTTGGACAAACTCTGAACCAGAGCTAACTCTCCAGGTCTCATCCATCCTAAGACTAACTTATTCATTCCCATCGAGATCTCGACAACGACGAAAAAATCTAGTCGGAGTGCTATACGGATCACATGATGTTCTAACCCGCATCACCTATGCTACTTAGTGATGCTCATTCAGGAAAATGGATATAAAAAAAAAAAAGAGAAGAGAACTGACTTCGTTGGGGTTACCAACGTATAGCAAAGTTTGGAGGCGGTATAATCACTGGTACTCGTGGGGATTGCTTGAACATGGCAGCCGGCGGGTGGTGCCGTTGCGCCGTTAAGGAGGTAACTTCTTACAAAGTTACAATCTGGTGGAGTGATTTAAGAAGGAAAGCTAGGTATCTTGGGATATTTTGTTGTTGTTGTTGTTGTACTCTGAATATGAGCAAGTGTAAATGTCATGAAATATTGATAATGTCTCCGTCATGACATGTCTGATGGGTGGAGGCTCCATCTATGATGCAATAATTGTTTGTGGTTCCTAGTTATTTTAGAGTGAAATTGCAGACAGTTTCCTAGTTACTTTTTCTTCAGTTCTGTGCCCAATATCGTTTTCTTATTCGTTCGACTTGTGTGCGACTGGGAGAATTTGTTCTCCAAGGAGGGGTCGTTACAGTCGTTCTCTTTACATCTTCAACCAAAAACTTGTGGGCTTTGCAGCTCTGCATTTTCTCACAACTTCATGCCTTCTTATCCTGTCTCGAATAATTTAATACCTGCCCGTGGTGGTAACTTGGAGAATGAATGGTGAGTTGAACATGATGAAACTTATGGACCAGGGGTGAATTGAGTGGGATCTAGAGAAGAATTGGGGAAGAATCAAGTAAGGGGTTCAGGGGTTTCAATATTATGGTGTCTCGGGGCTGGATTTAAAGACGACTCGTGCAAATAATGGAACTCGTCATCTCTCTTCGTGAGATTGATGTTGTCTTTAAGGGTGACGTTGGAATAATACTCATTTTTCTTCTTCTTCCAAGTAATGACAGGGAAAAAGTAGCCAGAAACCTCTATCAAAAACCCTCTTAGGTAACACATAGTGAAGCCACCTTACAAAGTTGAAGGAAGCTAACTCTACAGAGGACATTATGGCTTACTTTGCCACTCTATGGGCAACCCAGTTAACAATAGCATGAAATCGCGCCGTAAAAACTATACAACAAGTACACGAAATCAATAACCGAGGACTATCACGTAGAAGGGAACCGTTCAACGAATCGCCAACACATATGTTGCCTAACTGACGGATGACCATTTCATGCTATTGTTAACTCCTTTAATAATGTCACGAAGTAGACTTCGAGAAATCGCAAGTGAGATGGCATCCTGGAAACTAGCAACTCTGCAAGATAGGGGTCTGTAACTCTCTAATGGAGAAACCCCAAGGCCAGGAACGCTTGCCCGACTGATCCTCGAACGACTAGTCCAGACGAAACAACCTGAAACTCGAACAGCAGAATAATACTCTTTTAAGGTAGCTGCGTCCTGTAGCATCCTTAGTCGATGATGTAGCCATTACACCATTTTCTCCTTTATTAATTATTACGCTTGGCAATGGGTCCATCGATTGTTATTGTCACAACATGTATCTGACTCGCACGAAACTACCACAAATTAATCCCGACTAGAGCCCAAGTTTTTAAACTCTAGCCGGGTGCAGTATAGAGCAAGTATTTAAATTGTCAACTCGGGCCGATCCATATAACCCTACTTCAATCGCTTAGGTTGTTATCTAGCAAGCAACTTTTGAGTTTATAACTAATGGAACTACAAACTAAACAAGCAAGTAAAAGTAAATAAAGGAAAACTCTAACTAAAGGAGCTTCACCCAAGAGTTGCTTCCCCCTAACTAGCTACCGTGACTCGTTGGATTAAAACGATTGCTATGGGCTAGGTAAACGCGAACCGCAGAGGGATGCATATATGGTCGTAGACCACAATCTCAATTGCTAAACAAAGGTGAACATTATGGCCGTGTCACTCGGCCCTCTCGGTTTAGGCAATCGGTGGTTGACTTACTCCATCACCCAACTCAAGGGTCGGACAACTTAATCGCGCTTAACCAATTTGCTTAATTCAACATTGAGGTTTGCCCTAAATTAACCTAGTTAGGTGGCTTAAAAAGCTAAAGGAAAACCAACTCGATTGAGTCTCCATTGGAAGGGGGATTTCCCTCTTTAAGCTAGGATAAAGTGGCTAATTAGATTGCAAAGCACCAACAGGCACAAACCTAAGGATGCTAAGCACAATTCTGCACAATCCTTAGGTTGCTAAGCACCAACATGCACAAACCTAAGGATGCTAAGCATAAAACATGCACAACTCTTAGATTGCTAAGCATAAGCATGCACAATCAACATGAATAATATCTCAATCATTGGATTAAACAATACCCATAAACAATCATTCAATCTAAACAAGTAATTACAAAGTATTATTTAGGGATCTACAACACCCACGAGAAACGAGTGAGTTTCTAGAGAGAGAGAGAGAGAGAGAGAGAGAGGGATTACAAATTTGAGCTCAAGATCTTCTTCTTCTTCCAGGCTTGAATCTCCACCGAAGCCTCCAATGATGCTCCAAGATCACACTAGCACTCTCTCTCTCTCTCTCTCTCTCTCACTAGAACTCCCTTTTGGTGTTTTAGGTTGAAACCCTAAAGCAAGAAAGTGTTCCTTCTCCAAAAACCATCTCTCCCTTCTCTCTCCCCGCTGTTGTCTTCATATTTGCCCGAAATTGATCAGTTCACGGACGCGTTGGCCAATTCACGGCCGTGAAAACCTAAACGCGTCCGTGAACTCAGTCTTCTCCAAAACGCACCACTTTGCTTTCTGGGTTCACGGTCAATGGCCCCAGCTCACGGTCTTAGAGACCGAGAACTCGCCTGGCGTCAGTAACTTCGGATTTGGCCCTAGACGCCTTGATGTTCACGAACCATGCCTCCTCTTCACGGTCTTAGAAGTGAACTGCCTTGTCTGATCGTGAACTGCGACTGTTTCTTGGACGCCCTCACTTCACTATTACGAGGCAATTGTCACGGTTGACTTTGGACTTTTCTTCGGTTTTTGCACTTTTTTTACCTCCAATTATCCCAAAATTCGTCCTCGACCCTTTCACACATGCTAGGACTTGAAATGTATCAAAACAAGCACAACCTAGCGTGAAATATGTCGAGGAACGATGAAATACTAAGCTAAACGAATAAGAAATGAGGGGTAAAATGTGTACATTTGGGCCCCAATCACGCCCCCACACTTAAAGGTTTGCTTGTCCCCAAGCAAACCAAGTACAAAACAAGGTAAGCTTACTACTTAATTTTCAACACAATTTTTTGAGCATGTCATAGGGCACAAAACGAATGAATCACAATGGTTATTTGACACCGACCTATGGACAAAAACAAAGTAATCTTGGCAACCACCACAAACGACATTCAACTGTATCAAGATTGTGCAAAAGAAGAGTTCTCACATTATTCATCAACCAACACACAACATGTCTCGACGACTCACAATCACAGTTACTCATGCATGAAGATCACATCATAGGAACGAACGATCGAGCAACCTAGGTCCTCACCGGGGTAAAAAAAATGAACAAAACATGATGAAGAATCGCTCACTCTCGACCAGTGGGGTCAGGACCATTTGATGCAAAATATATGCATATTCACGCTCAATCCTAATTTCCCTTTATCATGACGATAGCCTCTAAATGTTAAGCTCACAAGATGGGTGTCGTTGCTAGCTTGTCCGGAGGTCTTAGAGGTTCAAATGACTGGCTAGGGTCTAGGACATTGGGAAAAGGCTTTTTGGGTGGTGGCAAACATAGCACATGTTTCCACATTTCCATCCTAAAACCAAAAAAGGTTCTAAGGTTTCGATTAGAACCCTCTCCTATACTCAATGGCCACTAGCATCGGCCAAAAACCACACTTCCCTCGATTCCAAATCACAACCAATCACCAAACCATTCTCAACAATCTTTCTTGCTACCTTTGCTATTCAATTTTAAGCACAAGAGTGTAGAGGTCAACAACATGTAAGTGTTCCTATGGCTTACATGCTAAGCAACACTTCCAAGAGCATGTTCAACATTTATTATATTTTTGGTGGCCACTCTCTTTTCTTCTTTGCCCTCTTATTGATCTCTCTTTTTTTTTCTTTTTGATTTCTTTTCTCTTTTCTTTGGGGGCTATAGAGAGCTATATACACATGCCACTTTTTTTAACTTAAGGACCAATGCTCACTTTGAAAAACTACCTACACACTCACCTCACTTCTTAGCAAGACCATACACAAATCACTCATGTGGAACCTCGTTTAAGCTCAAATGGTATGAATGGAGATTCCAAACACAAGGGTGACTCGATAACGGTGTAGACACGAAGAAAGTAGGGTCGTTCTATCTAAATCAATCAAGCTCAAGTAGCGTGAACTACCTAACACGAGAATGACCCTTAGACACACGGCTCAAAGGGGTTGACTAAGGGATGATATGATCGGGTCGGTTAACATTTGGGTCGTGGACTAAACCTATGCCTCCATCTTCCTCGCTAGCAACAACGTGAATGCTACGCATCATGTAAAGGGGGAACTATCGCACAAGAACGAAACGAACGACACAAGTCTCACATGGCGACGTAGGTGCTCAATCATTCGGTCTCACTCCCTAAACTCGATGCATAGGCAACTGTGAAAAGCGAGTAATCAATTCAAAACATCTATCGGTTCACAAACACATGAGAAATGAACCTATGCACAAACCTAATACAAGTCTCAGTCGTCAACTCGTCATCATAGGATGCACACAATCACAATCAAATCATCCATAGACCATGCTAATAACCACGAGATTCAAAACAAATCACCACAAGGTGCCACTACGATCATGCAAATGTAGAAGTTGTTATGCTTGGAGCCCTCAAATTTTAAAAATTTAGGCATACATCTAGGCTCCAAAGCATTCATCACACCAATCATTCACACCAACATGCATAATGGACTACCCCCCCACCCACACTTAAGCTCGACATTGCCCTCAATGGCGTAAAAGAAGGGGATAAAACGATGTTACCGGTCAAGTTGTGAACGTTTGTGCTCGGGAGCGGAGGCCGGGTGAGATCCGAAAGAGCAAGGAGACGGTAAAACACCACCAAAATCTCTTCATTGATCGTCTTATTGGAGTGGAAAGCAAATAAACCGATGGTAGATGGGTTGCCTCCCACTAAGCGCTTCTTTAACGTTGTGAGCCGGACGGTTGCTCCTCAAGTTTCGGTCCACCGAAGAACCTCCTTGAAGTTAAGGTTCTCGTCGGTGAGGTGATGTCTCAAGTCACGAGCATTGGACGAGTCCATGATTGAGGGCTCGTGAACTTGAGTGGCTTTGAGGCTCCGCCCACAAGACCTCTTCTTCTTTCTTCTCTTTGCCCCATACCATGTAGTGCAAACTCGATTGGTTTCCATCGCATCCACCAAGAGGGATCGCCGATGGTTTGGCCTTGGCTTGGTAAAGAGCCGCAAATGGGTCCCTCTCCAAAAATGTGTCGAGGTCGGGTGGAAAGCTTTCATAGCCCTCGTAACTTGTGGATGCTTCATCCACCCCGACCTCATCCTCATCTTGGACGCCACTTGCTCCTTTTA